TACTTTGCTACCTGTCTAACTGTGTAAACACCATCTCTGTAGCCGATAGTAAACATCATTTGTGTATGTAATATATATATCATATCTATCATCGAGTGAATAATATCCGTATATATGCTTTGTAACTTCGTGCTGCCTGTTAGAATTTTACCTCACAGTAGCTACTTCGATACGATATTTCGATAAGATCGATTTTTCTATTGTCATTGCTCTAGCCAGGAGAAGGCCTATTACAGTTACAGTACGACAGGCCACAAAAAGTGGTATTGTCATTATCTTTTTTATTATTATATGTTTTTGAATGATGTAAGCAGTTTAGACATTTGGTTGCTAGAAACGAAGGATGTAAGCGCATTTTTGGAAGCAATGACCTAATGTTTGACTCTATCATTTAAGAAACTCTTAGCCTATTTTAATGTCCTATAATCAAAATTTTTTTTCGATGTATAGACTCTTTTTATGTAATGGAAAAGAGGACATATTCACGAGTTACTCCACGTTCATACAGATATATATATAGATAACCGAACAGACCTCAAAAGACGTCGTTTCGATATTCCAGGTTAATCGTAGAACTATTTTCCTTATTTGGTAATACAAATTACATAAAAATTAGATTTTATCATATATATAAAATCCTTCAAGCGGAAACGAGTAATGATAATGCGGGACTACTACAACTACTAAGTTAATTTATTTACAACCATAAGATATCAATGTCGATAAACGCATCATTACATTAAATATTTGAGTTAACATATATTGACCAAGTCAAAAACGACAAAAAAAGCCAAGCTAATTAAAAACTGAATGGAAGAAAAAGGTGATTAATCATAAAGTTTATTTTTTAGTTTACTTCGCAAGTTAATATTTTTACGTACGACGTTATAAGTAATTGGACAAAAAGCTTATATCTGTTAAATTTATAACATAGACGTTTTTGATTTTAAACCGTTCAGAAAATAAAATGATGCAAAATTAAAGTATCGGCGATCTGGGCGGTACCAAAGACTAAGTTGATGCTAAAAATATTTAGAATTAAAGGTATCCCAACGATGATGTAATACAGAGGAGACAGAACAAAATTTTCAAAATTTCCCTGAAGAATATACAGATTGTATCCTGCGTCCTACACTGTAATGCAGTAAGATATTACAGGGATAATTAAAAATTCGGACAAGGAAGGATAGCATTTGTAAAAAATTCAGGTGTATGTTAATCTAAATATAACCTAAATACTTGTTTCATCCAGGCATTCGGATAGAAGTCAGACGGTAAAAAAATCCTTAGATAGTTTTGGTCGAAGTACAAAGCAAAGTAGAAATAGGTTCTAGAACTTGATTTGAGAGTAATAATGAGTCGTGCATACAGATTGTTTTGAAAACTGTCAAAGGTAATTTAACTTGTAGGCTTAAACTTGTAACGCTAAAATGTGTTTATTTTTACTATATCCAGAACGACAGTGTAGTTAGATACTTTACAAGTATACTCGTGTTATCCAAAGAGGTTCAAGTAGAAATAACTGGAAATCCGTTGCCAGTGTAGGGGACGGATCATCTACATGCTATATATAATTTGACATAATGACACTCTGACGACGGGTCTCCATATATTTCTATTAAAAGTTTGTGGACGACACAAATATACTTTCAAAGTACATAATTACGCTGTCGTTTGGGATTTAGTAAAAATAAACCTGTTTTAACATTACAAGTTTACAGTTGCTTAAATAAATACAATGGTGCACGTGTGTATAATTATTGTTTTCTAATTGCCCCTTCGTTGAGTTTTAAGGTTAGTCTCTTAGTTCAAAATAGGCTAAAAATTTTTCTAGGGTATCATGCCATTCCAAGTCGCCGTTGTCTTCATCGGCGCTCGCAAATGTTTCTACATCATCTGCATACATTTTTACAGATATTGATAAAAGTATTAAGTAAATTGTTGATGTTATATACAAAATATACTTAGAATTATATTTGAGGACAGTTTAAGGTAGCTCTAACTGTATCTGGGTATCTTCTGTTGACTCTAAACTGGAAAGTACGATCATTAAAAAAGTTTTGCATCCACAGTACCAGGACCTCTCCGAAGCCAACGCGGGGAAACATTTTGTGACGCTTGGAAGGCTATAAAAAAAGAATTGGCCCAAAAAGCTGTTCCCTGACTGCCAGTCTTTGTTAAAACGTAGAAACATCGCACAAAATGAAAAATAATTCTGTGAAGATGCCTGTTTGTAATTTTTAAAATGTTTTAAATTGCTCAGTTTTGTTTAAGTTTACATATTGAAGGATATCGAAGAGGTTCAATGAAGTCTAAGTCAATACAGCTAAACTTTTTTGAAGAAAATTCGATTGACCACAGTGTTACGTAAGCTTAAGAAGCGTAAGAAAAATGTATAGAAGACATATGCTTGCATAGATGTATTTTGAATGTGGATCATAACAGAAATACATGGTAGTGCAGCTAAGAAAATCAAGGTAACCCTTATAGTGTTAACCGCGTATAATCGCAACGCCTATGATTGTCCTAAATCACGATATTAACAATTTTCATTCAAAGATAGACAACTTTTTGCTTCCGGTCATCGTTGAAGGACGCAAAAGCGCCACTCGCAAACTAATGTCAATGTTTTCGAAGTTATATCGTCTCCAAAGAACGTTTTATTATAGGTGCACACAGAGTTGTATCATTGAGAATTTCCTTACAGCCTTAGACTGGAAACAACAACCTGTTAAAGTCTTCATCTGTTCGAGATCAGCTATATGTTGATACTTTGAATGATATAATGAATGGATTTCACTATTTTTTCCAACAAAAAATAACATTGTTCTCTTCTCTGTTCTTAAAGATTTTCGAAAATTAAAAGATTTCGTTCAAAGAAGATGTTCTTAAAGATTTGTGAATGAAGTCCTTCTAACATGTAATGCTTCAAATAAATACCAACTTTGCTAATTCGCGGAAACAGATAAATTACAAAAAAAAATTCGAAAAAGTTGCTGTTTTGTTTCTTGAAAAAAAAACTCGTGCAACACATAAAACAATATCACATACTTAGACAGAAAACTTGGGTCCGATTTCGAGCAGCTAAGCGCCAGTATCGCTTTTACAATGTGTTACTGCAATCTCGTAAGAAAAAATTCCAAGTAACTCAAAAATAACCATGAACTCTTCTGCCCTTAATAGAAAACACAGACTAAACTAGCGATGCAGTTCTTTACGTTAACAGAATATTCCAGACATCTTTACAAGACTGAATCGGCGACCTATTGTTCCTTCATGAAATCGGACCGCAAAATACGGTTAAGAGGTGGAAAAAACGTCGGTCTGTGTTGCATGCTGATAATGAAATTAAAAGATAATCCATACCTTTTCAGAATGTTAACACGCGTGACGACAAAAAAATCCATCAATATATATCAAACCAACGCGGTCCTACAAACAGCTGTAAAGAACCTACATTTTTACGCAAGCCTCTTAGGAGGTGCAACCTCCACTATTATCGCTGACGTTATTGAAGAAATCGTTATGAAAATGAGCAATGGCAAGAGCTTAAGGAACATTAATCTCACAATCGTCAGAAATTTAATGTGCGTTAGGAACTCTGCATCATCTCTGCTGTTTGGATAAATCTTTCCTGCTACTGTAAAGACTTAAAGTATTTATGTGCCTCGTCGGTCTAGCATGGCATATACAAATGAGAGTGACCTTCTGTGGACCTTTGTTCGCTCTCTAAAATAATTGAATAACTGTTAGCACCAGAAAAATACAGGTCATATATATTAGAAATGGCGAAGGGACAGGAGACATCCATTTACGTTAAAAGGATCAAGTGCTGAACTACCTATGTACACCCAGAACTAATCTTATCACAAGATATTGGAGTTTAGGGCGTAACAATAACCAATGATAATAAACACATCTTAGAAAATGCAGAGAATACCATCAGAGGCAAATCTTCGCAATAAACATATTGCCAATTACAATATACAACTCCAACATAGTATGAAAATGGTCTGCATGACAAATGAAAGAAGTACAAATAACGTTTTAAAAAACAGCTTCCTAAACAGCATCGTAAGATTACCACGAGATTGCTCACATTCGCAACGCAGTTAACGCAGGGGCGGCCTACTTGGAGACCTAGTCAGTATAGATCTTTTATACATCGTATAGTCTTAGACTATGTGCATAAAAGGAACCTCAGATTTCTATACTTTGAGAACCTTACTGAATGAGAACACAAGTATGCGTTTGGGCGTGGTGTTACAAAAAGGACATGCATTTGTAAACTCTGTTCAAAACAAACTAACAACAGATATCATATTGTGACGCTGGATAAAAATTACACATTCTCTAAACTATATTAGTAACAAATGTTTAGCAAATCTTTGTAATTTGGGTCGCAGGCATTTTCTGATTCCGATTCCGATGAGTTAGATACGATAGATAAATAGAACTTTCATCTCCGGTGGCTAATTGACAACTACACGGTTGGCTCCGTGTAGTTGTCGATGCAATGTCTTCCATCGCTTTTAACTAAAGCCAAAATGTAGATGAACGATATAACTAAAAATAGCATCGCATTTATTTTAAAGGCATTGCTTATTTTCAATAAAATACGAAACTACTGACACTGATGGCTATGAGGATGCTATACTGTTTTAAAATCGTTGTAGACAGTAGCGTGGTAAAATGCAGTTACGTTAAGGTAACGACAATAGGTTGATAATAATAAAAAAAGTTAATGATATTTCTAGGTAATTTATTCAATAGTACTTTATTTTATACATAGGTAGGCAGCAACGACACGCAGTTAACTAATAGTTCTATAAAACAAAAGCACTATGTTTTCATACCTGTGTTTTTTATTTACCAACCGTATTATTACCAAATTAATCACATAATTCAGACCTAAATTACGTTCTATTTAGATTAATTAGCATTTGTAGATACAATAAAATGGCTGATATGTACTGTACAGACATATATACAAATTTTACCTGTGATTTGGTAATGCGGAAGGTGCGCTCTATTTATTGTATAGTAGCTCCTTGGCAAGCAGCTTTCCTTGCGAGATAGCGCTGTTTTGCTGCTTCAAATTTGTCTCCCACGCATCGTTTTTCAAACATTTCTCGCCAGTCCTTTGGGGCTCGATTTCTGCATTGAGGCTCGCTAACCTGTACGCCGGAATGAATGTCCTTTTGCAAGTGTCTTATGGGTTTTTTTGCAACCGTTTGCCTCTTGACGTTGTCATCGTTCCGATCTGAATCTGACTGACTGGAGCTGAAATTTGACGTGTTCAGAGCAATAGTAGGAATACCTCAACTACGTAAACCTCCAAATACTAGGTTCCGTATCGAAGTGCGACAAAAAGTATCTATCCGATCGTGTAAGTCATATACCATAGCAAATGTTATAAATTACGAATATATTTACGGAAATAAAATGCAAATGCCTCACTAAAAAATAAATCTTTTTGTTAAAATGTATGTTTCATAATTTATATAGTCCTTTATCATTGTTGCTATTATGTTATTAGACCACGTGCGTGGTCCCCTATACTTTTTACAAAATACACATGTTTTATTCCTCGACGACACAGAAAAAGAACGTTATGTGATCTGCTCTTTTCTGCCACTTAACAGTGTACCGCCATCTTGGTTCAGAGTCTGCTATTTGTACCTACCTTTTGTTGTCGTCATCAGTATCGTCGGAATCATTTTGCTTCGCTGTATTTTCTCTCTCCTTCTTTAACTCGCTGGTATGTTTTCGTTTACGGTACGTTCTACTTTTATTTCTCATTTTGGTACATGAAACTGAAAAAGCCAGGTAAAGGTTTTAATTTGGCCAAAGCCTTCTTCGAGGATGGAATTCATTTTAGCGGCATCGTAGCGGACATAGTGAAAAAACCGTACAAAGTATTTGATGAACGATTTATCTTACGATTAACGAACAATCACTAGGTGCTTGGACAGTAGTTGAACTGTGCTATGCTGCCTTACCAAAAATAATCATCATTACCAATTAACATCGTCGTCATGTTACACTACTGACGTTACTTATTATTCATGAAGCGTTTTATCCTGCTAATCTTTAGGCTAGTTGATTGACTCCAAGATTAATGTGAAATTGCTATTCTCGCTTGTAAGTTGAACGGCTGACATAGAGGGTCGACGTGCAGTTTGCTGACTTCAAGAGCCGATTCAAACGATATCACTGTCAGCTAAGGAACTCGAAAGACAGAAGCGCGAAAGGCAGCTGCGAAACATCGTATAGCATCCATAGCTTTGAGGAAGTACAAACAAAAAGTATTGGAATTTGTTTCTCAGATCCGCCACATACATCGTGAGTGCGAAGCAAACAACTACGGTCTTTCAAGAAGAACACTGATGAAGGGCGTTTCCACCATGGATTTACCTTCAATGTACGGACTTTTATGTTAAGACGCTGTTAGACACAGATACTGATTTTATTCCTCGTATGAGAGTCAAATTGTCTTAATCAAAAAAGATATATTCAAAAAGTAACCTCTAGAAAATAACTGGCTTACCGAACAAAACGTAGATGGGGTATATAAATTCCCACGTTTCTATACAGGTAGATTCAGATGCATGTAACTCCCCCCCCCCCCCCCCTCCCCCCGGAAATACAAGCAAACCATCAATAATGGTCCCGTGCTTCATGCGATGAACTAAAACTACTTTTATTGACAAACCTGTTATTGTCTGTACGTCGCTCTTTCGCTGTGCATCGTCTTCGCCGCTGCTAGTTTCGAAGAATTCTGAATCGGCATCAGGGTTGTTGTTATTGTTGTCATGGTCGTCGTCGTTGCTCTGTCCTCTGGTCTTCAAGGCTGGTTCAGTTACTCTAGCAATGTTAGTCTGAGAAGATGTGCCGTGTTCTGTACTGTGCTCGCCAAACGACTGTTTCAGACTGGTGTTTTTCGTGTCTTTTATTAAGCTTGTTTCACTGGTAGATCTATCTGGAATTTTCTCCTCGCCACATTGCTGCTTTAGAAGATGGCGATAGAAGCCTGACAGGTCTTTCTGTTTCGTCACATCCATCATTTCTGAAATTTTATTTTAAATCGAAACTTAGGATCACAGCAGATATTTGTTGTTGACAATTGTTGGAATAGAAACTCAATACACCCGTCAAATCTGCTGCCTGTGGCGTGGTATTACCACTGTTTAAAACGTATAATGTCGACTATACGTTTTAACCGTCGAATAAAATATATATTTTATCTTATGCGGGAAAACACTCTAGAAATATAAAAATATCTCTCGCGTTACATCGAAACCTACGGCGATTTCTAAAAGTTATCGTGCTGATTCAATATGTGTTTCTCCACATACTAAAAAGTTTAATCAATATTCTTTAATAAAAAAAAATATTGCAAAACAAAAAACTGTCAGTAGATATATGTATAATAAGTTCTCAAATGACCTTCTAACTGCTCCTTTCGTTTAGCTTCTTCCTCCTCTTGTTGCATTTGCTCTATCTTCTTTTTGTACGCTGCGGTAACAAAAGCTTCCTTATCACCAAAATCCTCTTTTTCGTCTTCGCGCTCTTTTTGTATTTTTCGTTGCGCCCGGCGCTCCTCCTCCTTTTTACGTGCTTCTGCATTTCTTATTAGACTCTCAATGTAACGTGGCTATTAAGGAAGAACAGACAAAAGACACTTTAGCTCAAATAACCAGTCTCAGTGAAAACAACATATGGGCTAAAACATCTGACCAACGCATTTACGATTCTTGACAAAAATCGATATGCCACATACAAAAAATGTTGTTAGGTCTTTAGGTTAGCCCACAACACAAATCGTACCTTTCTGTCTTTTATTACAGCTTTATTAGCAATGTCCTCGGCTTCTTTCTTACTTTTCATCTCATCATAAACTTCGTCATATTCAAACACGTTTGCGTCTTCGTCGAGTGCCCTTTTCATCATCATCTAAAATATAGAAATAAGTCAAGATTAGAAAACGTCAGTTTTATCAGTGGCTGATATTATCGGATTTGGCTGACATCATAACGAATTGGTTGAAGAAACGGGGGAGATCAAGGATTATATCAACTAACGCATGCTGTTACGCAGGAGATCGGCGAAGTCAAAATGAGTATTCAATACACTGTTCTATTACAAACCATAGGAGCGGACAAGTTCTGTAACGTCGCGGCATTCCTGTTTCATGAAAATTACATTTTTAATTTCTCAATAATAAGTGACAACTCGACCAGGTCTGCTATACACCTGGTGCTGCACTTACATACGTACATACTGAAAATTATATTACTGGGTAAGTGAAGGGATCTCCTACTGAACGTGGACAAAATAATGTGTTGGCTTTTACAATGGTCATATAAATACCGTTGCAAGCAATAATCTGTTTATCCCGTTGATGGACTGCGTGTCTTACTTTTAGATATTTACCACGGTAGAGTAGGAGTCTACTTAGCGTTTCCTAACGTAGTACTCACGAGTTGCCAAGTTATTGATCATCACGTCTTTTGCTTGTGAAATGTTCAAAGATATCCACAGTATTTAGCAACAGGCATTAATTCTGTACTAGAGAAAAATTTATTTTTTAGGCGTAGATAAACCTTGACGACTTCGACTGTCCTTTTCATCATATGAGTACATTGCTTACTTGGGTCTGAACTTTGGCGAGACTTTTGACCGATGCTTTTTTGATCGTATCTTCAATTGTGCGCTTGTCATGTTCATCGTCGCTCTCGTCTCCAAACACATTTGAAGGAGCAGCCTTCTGCAGAGCCGCAATACTTCCCGACTGCTTACTTTTCGGCAGAATGAGGCCATACCTGTAATTTGCAGCGTTTAAGTAATGTTTGATTACTTCTAACGAAGTGAGCTTTTTAATTATTACTCGTACATCAAAGATTTTGCTTAATTGTTAGGTACCATTACATCGCACAACGTTTTTTGCCCGCCTTGTCAAACTTAACAAAGAATTCTGTTATATTATGAATTTTATTTAAACGAGTCCGGTGATAGGTACTATTTTACAATCACAATTACTAAATTTAGTTACTAAAATAGAGCAAAAAAAACAAGGAATGCATGCTGTGGAACAGAAAATTCACTGCATACTAAATCTTAACGCTTTTCACAACACGGCAAGCCCCATATCAAGCAATAATGTCACTAGTTAATTCATCATGCATCCCAAACACATGATGTCCGTACAGGTTTAAGTATACTAAGCCGTACTTTTGTAAGCTATTGAATTAAAATAACCACCGTTTAAATATTAACAAAATATATTAAATCTTATTTCAATACAATAATTTGAACTATAAAAGTAATTAGCAATTAATAGTATAGAAATGTATGCAATGAGGAAACAGTTCGAGTTCCCAAACGTTCTAGATAGAGGAAATTTAACCAAAAAGATAGATACACCCATTGTATCCCTACCCTTCTCCTTAACCTTAGTTGACCTTTATGGTCGCCCTTGAAGTGCAATTAATGGTTAACAATTAATAATATGTTTTTATCTACAGGATCTTAAAAATTATACTCACTTCCTGGGAGACGCCATATTCATCTTGGTCGGGAAAGTTGGCGCGAAATTTAAATTAATATTTTATTCTGTAAATCACTCCATCGTTAATGGATAAATGCAGCAACAAGCTGGGTATAGCACAGCGTCAGCCAATAAAATTTGCTTATTTTATTATTATTTATTAAAGTTAGCTTGGCATGCTATAAAATATGCTTGTTTGTTTGTGTAAAAATACTCTCCTTGAGTTCAGTCGCATCGATCGAACAAGTGAAATACTGATACAGAAGCTGCAGAGCTGATGACTTGCGATTCCCTTAATCGATTTCTCTATATCTGAGTGAGGCATTAAAGGTTATCAGGTACAGGTCACACACATAGATAATACGCCAGCTGTGTGTGTTCCGAAAAAGTATTCCGATTAATCTATCGGTGATGTGCTTTCAGGTCAAGAATAAAATGACAGACAAAGAGCATATCAACTCTGTAGGCAAAGTTTCCAATCAAAAAAGTGTTACTTTATTGGCGGATTTCGCCTCCACAAACGCCCATTTTGTTGTCTGAGTACTGTCCCGTTAAGGTACCCAAATAATCTGGACAGAACAGTGACTTAGTGTATATACCTTACAAGAGTCATTTACTTTCAATTAATCTCTAACAATAGTGAAACATATTGATTTCTTCACTTCTAACACGATTGCAAACCATGTAATGCTATATTTATTAAAGAAAATTGAATTTATCTATGATAGATCTTTAAAGTCACTCAATACAGCGTAACAGAACCGGCGACAAATATTTCTATCCATAGTTATAAACAATAACTTCCGCATAAACAAGTTATACGTAGTGGCTGACTACTCGTTTTTATGAAATAAAGTAAGAACCATAAAAATGCTACTGCTGCTGCTGTCTGTTAGCCTTAGAATGTATAAAACCAACATACGTAACCTGCCGATGCTTTTTTACTTCCAAGGGGTCATTGCTAATTTTTTTTACAATGAACAATGACAATACTGTGTCCAAGACATGTCATCAAATCTAAGGGTAATGAATGTAGAGAAACAAATATTCGGTGTTTGAAGATTAAACTAAAAGTATTTGAAAGTAAAATGTAATAAGTAGTTATTTTTCTAATTAGGCCTGTTCGCTTGAGTAGAAGATAGGCTTCTATCGGTTTCCGCCTAAAAGATGCTCGAACCACCTTCCGACCGGCTCTTCTAATCAAAACTGGCGCGGAATTTCGTCTTGTTCAGGCAGGGCAGCCTAACTAGCTATTGCAGTTGATATTTTCAAATCCTCGGGAAAGACGACGTTTCATTCCAGTCAGTAGCAAAAAATTCTATTAAAAAACGCTGGTCATATAATAAGGTAAAATAGAATAACGTAGTGATTGAATCAGAAATGTGGCTGAGCAAGTGAGTAGGTACCCGTTAACTTGGCAGTACTGGATCACCACACGATGGATCCGCTCGTTGTGTAATAGGATGAACTCTTCGGCCCTAGTTAGAAGTGGTAAGTGCTACTGAATAACAAGGATACTGACAACAAACATATATATGTCAATTTATGAGAAGCTTCTTTATATATATATATAATATATATATATATATATATATATAAGAATTTGTAGTAAGTTACAACAGAACGATTCGTTGTAGGATCAGCTGCGTGTGAAAAGGCAGAATTTTTGTTATACTGGCGAACTCAGACTCGGAAATTACTCCTGTACCAAAGATCCGTATTTTTCGAATTCAGGCAAATAGCGAAAAAGCACCGCATAACGTAGCGACGTTAACATATTGAATATCAATAATATACCACACTGAGTTTTCGAGAAAAAGTAAGGTTAAATTAGATTATAGATCTAATTTCTGTTTATATTTTAAGACTGGTCGCTAAAGCCCATGGAACGATTTCAAAAGTATTAATACTTAATATTGTATTCGTACAAATACTGACGACTTAAAATTTTTCAAATTTATTTAGGCATGTATTGCTTGAAGTTCGAGTTAAAATGACAAATTTATGGTAAATCGATTAATGTATTTTATGCATTCCCTTTTTTATTGGAAGTTAATGTTTAGCAGTCCACCATAAATAAACCATGCTTTTGCCTAACGAAACCATATATGTAATGTGTAGGCCGTTGTTTGTGTTTGACGAATGCGTCCGAATCTGGACTAACAAAAAAACCGAAGCCTATTTTGCGGAAAACCTACTATATTGTTACGATTATTGGTGATCCGCGATGAAAAGACAGTTGATCAATTTTTTTAGCCAATATGCTAGATACGTGATTGTAGTTACAATTCACTACATAGACCCTGAGATTGTTCAAAGGTTATAATTTTCGTGTATTATATTTATAATTTTCGTGAACTTTACGAAGATCATCTAACATGGTATTGACCAAATTGAAAAAAAAAAAGAACAAATCGTTTTTATGTTACGTTGGCTATGTTTTCAAACATTTTTTTCTGGAACAATTCTGGGTACGGTGGAAACGACTTAGATCTATGATAAGTGTCATGGTTTTGGTTATTTTAATTCTAACTTCCGACTTTTCCGTAAAAGTTGGCTCTGACCAATTACTCAATTTTGGGAAAAAAATGTGGTAAACCCATTTCATTCTGTGAAGTTGGCAATTGGCGCCAGCTTTCACCTCTTACTCATGTAGAGTTGACTTTTCCATTTTTTAATTATATTACTTATGAAGCTTTCGCTAGAGTTGCAATGGAGTTGCACCTTCTATACTTCGACAAATATTCATAGCAAAACATAGTATTCAAAGTAGAGAGGTAAATATTTCAATATTATTGTCTCTACTGGTTGGCCATTAACTGCGTGCTAAATAAGCATGCTACAATGAAAACAGCTAACCCCACTGAAAATTCACAATACATTTTGAATCTTTAAAAATCCTTAGCATTCATTTTAGAAATTATGGAGAATAGCAAATTAATTTAAAACATTTTGAGAATTTTGGGTAACAACTATACCACTATTGTGTAGATCTTTAGTAATAGCTAATCTTCTGTGATAGAAACATTCAATTTTGTCAAATACGAGAGCTTGAGATAAACGGAATTTATAGAAGTTACGTTGTATAACATTGCTGCGGAAAGTGCTACCGATTGAAATCATAGCAGAATTCTACGATAAATTTACTTAAGTGAAATATTAAAACAGAAATCTAATATCTTGAAGTACAACATGCATTTCAGAGACCGGGAGATGCGGTCACTTTTGGTGTGAAACGAGGCCATCTACGGAATGAAATGGGTTGTACGCACCTTTTTAAGTTCCGAGAGCTTTCACTAATCGCAGTGCAACAATACCGTTACGGGGCAAGAACATCTCCAGTGCCCTGTTGCATTAAAATGATACAACGTTCTGTAACTGCGTGTCTGTAAATCTTCATCCTCCTTGTAACGTTTCTGTGGACGCCGATAAGCCTTGTAGTAAATTTGCCTGTTAATGCTGATGTTGACGCCATGAAAACAGTATCCCTTTGAAGAATTGAGAAACGCGGATTTAGTGCCGGGCGAATGGCAAGGAAATGGGACCGCGCTTTACTGCTCAGTTAACGTGCGCCCATTAACGTGAAATGGCTATTCGATAAACACAAAGCTCGTTCCTCTGAACATTTTTTGCACGGGTGTACCTTTTTTTGCAAACAGCGCAAGTGAAAAAAAGCAAAGAAGTAGGCATTGGTCTTTACTTCACCAATTGCAGTCTTAGATTGTTCTGAGGCAAAAAGGCTGATGAGTTTTACTAATTGCGATACATGAGCCCTCGAAACGGAATTGGCGAACCAAGACATTTTCTTGATACAATTGACTTGAAGTGAGACGGCAATGTTAGCTCGTCTAACAACGCCGGCTTTACTCGCGAAAACTATTAAATATTATCATTTTAGTTCAAATCTCTCGAACGAGCTTGCCTAGTCCAGAGAGAACCTCTAGACAGTTTTGAATATCAAATATTAATGCTTTTAACTTCGAATTTCAAAGTATTTACGACCTTGAGGTATTATTGGATCGACTGACGTTTGCAAGTTCTGGAGTGAGGTTGCAAGTTCTGAATTCAAAGGTCGAGACTATTTATGTAAAAAAAGTTGTTAAGTAGTAAATAATAAGATTAGAATTGAAAAAGTGTTGGGTACGAGGATTTGGGAATGAATATTTTAAGTAGCTGCTTGCTGAAAGCATAAAATTCTAATAATGTAATATTATTTTTTTCATAGACACTGGATAAAACTTGATGAACTTGAAGATAATCCGGATACACTTTATTTATATACAATATTTAGAAATAATAGAAGGTCTTATTATTTTTATCTGTGGTATTTCGGGAAGTAGCCATAATAATGAAGCGATATAGATATGAATACGAAGAGATGATTTTGAACCAATGATTTTTATATTATGAAATGATAAGATGAATTATAGCTTATAGCTAAGCTTAATGAGTACTTAATAGGCCGATCTGAGTTTGATTAATTCGTTCGTCATATGGAGTATACGGCACAATTTATGTAAATGACATCTTTTACTCCCGCTTAGTCGTCTTCTAGTGATTTTGCTACGGATTTTCCTGTCGTAATTAGTATCCCTGTTGACGGGACACTTTATTTTTTGTAGTGCCGCCTCATTTGTGCAAATGTTAATTGACACATGTTTCATGCGAGTTGCAGTTTTCTAACACAGACCTAATCGGCATAGGGGATTCAGGCGAGATAATGCAGTCTGCTGTAGTACTCGGAGGTGGCATCTCCGGCTTAGCAGCTACATACTACCTCACACGAATTCCTGATATTCAAAGGATCATCCTTGTAGACAAAAAAGCACGTCTTGGCGGTTGGATACAAAGTACACGGTACCTATTTGTGTAATCTCCGGCAGAAATAATGATTTGTGTGAAAACATATTGTTCCAATGTCGGATCAAGGAATCTGATAGATCTTTGTGCGTATATAATCTAGCATATGGCAACATTTTTATATGAATAACCATTGAGATCTTGACTTTACATCATGTTTGTGATTCAGGTACCCATGTGGCACTGTCGACGAGCACGGGCCTCACAGTATTCGTGTGGATGGAGTTCAAGGTGCGAATACACTCAATTTGGTAAGTACCAGTTCCGCCAATTCGCGCTTAACAGGATCACACATTTCGTTACCTTGTGTCGAAAGTTGAAACCTCTGTGTCGATGTGCATGAAGCGTAGGAGTGAACTCTATTTAAGAACTCACGTCAGGTCTTTTTAATGTATGGGTAGAAATGTTGGAACAGCTACTATCGTTGCTGTGTGCATGGATGCATTGCAGATTGAGGAACTTAAACTCGGTGACGAAATCCTTCCGGTGTCTCCAACAGCCCTCCGAGGCCGAATGATCTACCATGAAGGCAAACTTCTCTGGTTACCTAAAGGTCTCGGAGACATATTTCGAATTCGCAAACCCTTCTCGAAGCCCCTTGTATTTCCTATACTAAAAGAGCTAGTAAAGCCCAAATCAGATATTGAAGACGAAAGTCTCTACAGCTTTGTTCAGCGGAGATTTAACGATGAGGTATGTTTAAGTAGACGAGAGAGCCATACGTAATCACTTATAACTTTGTTCCCTATCAATTAGCCTTGAAGATAGTGTGATTTCAGCTTTTTATGGGTTTTTTATTATTAATACGTCAATACGGCCATCGGGTGATAATTATTGAGTAGCCTTTTCTACTAAGAGTTATTGTCAAATGCAATCATTAAATATATCGTTTATTGCAGATGGCAAAATACATTATTGATCCAATGTGTCGAGGTATCTGTGCCGGTGATGCTAAGGAAATTAGTGTGCGTTCTTTGCTGCCTGCAATGTACAACGCCGAAAAAAAACACGGTTCTGTGATTAAAGGGATGTTAAAAAGTAAGTTACTTGTACTTCAGGTTTCCAGCATTCTTTGGGAACTATGTAATCGTATTTACAAAAATTATTTTTCTATTTTGTTTAAAAAGCTATGTAATGTTCCTGCGACTTCAAGCATTGGATTACGGACTAGTGGTGCAGTCTTAACATATTTACTAACTAATATTCGAGACACCGAGTGAGCCGGTTATAGATAACAAGGGAAGATAATAAAAAAACTTGTCTATCATTTATACATGAAATTACAGAATTGCAAAAGACGATTCATATTGTAATCCTTATTCTTGCTAGCTCTCTAGACTGCTTGTGTTCTAAAGCTCCTACCATAAGCTGCTGCGGTATAGAAATATTGAGGTCTGCCGTAGTGTGCCATTAAGATCCTGCTACAAAGCACTGCGTGTTTTTGTTCTCATATGATCGTACACCGTCAAAGTGTCTATGAGCGCAAGTAAGGCACCCGTGGCGTGCCCTTAGATGTCAACGAGCGCTTTTTAATCCAGTTTAATTATGTTTGCGCATAGTTATAGATGCGGTAAATTTTAAATTTATAAAGATGACATGATAAAAAGCTTACAACGATCTTATGCAACAGCCTTTTTTCAGTACCCTATTTCCGCCACATCAGGTATACAGATTTAATATGTGCACTATGTAAATCAACAGAGTCATCTTTAAATCCAAAATCTACATCAATCTACATTACAGACATTCTACATTGCAAGACAGAAATCCGGGGTTCGAATCATTGGGCGTGTAGCATTTAATTGTAGACTGATCACGGTTAAATGATCAGCTGTGTCGGTAACTAGGGTAAAAATGGATTACTCGATGAACGTGTATTCTAGATTCAAATATGGGCGCTGTGAGTGGGCTCGCTCAGAAGGCACACAAGGAGCATTGGGGTGCGTTTTCCTTTAGACAGGGGCTACAGACGCTTGTCGATCGACTTGTGGAAGTTGTGGCAGAAGACCGGAGGGTGACAATCTACGAGAATGAAGACAATGTTCATTTGTCCGAAGAGGACGGAAGATTCACTGTTGAGTATGCGGAGGGACGAACGCAAGCACACCATTTATTTTCATGCATTCCGGCCAAAGGTAGGTGGATCTAAAATGGTTCGGAAATCAACTTTCAAAAATTAAGTGTTTATTAGAGGGGTGAAGCGTTTCTGATGGCAACGTTCGAATTCCACCTCAATAACTGGAAAATTTGACGCGAATAATACTCTTCAGGTAAAAACTAGCATAGGAGAAGAGATCTTACTCTCTTGTATATTCATATTCATTTAACGCAGCAGAATAGCAAATGCGTGGCTTTTCATGTCCTTTTAAGTCCTATTTCTCCTAATTCCGCCTTAATGATCTTCATCATAACGGAACTTGTTTTCAAATAGATTGTTTGTATTGTAATGTGCACACAAACACAAAAACGAAAATTTTCTGCAGGAAACTGCTACATTCAGAAGCCTAGTGCAATAATTAGCCTGCTAAAAGGCTCCTTTTTGGGCTTTCTAAGCAATTAAAATTTCCTTATTGTCTTCAGGTCAGCTTTCTTTGAATGCTTACTATTTCCAAATATCTGAATGCTTACTATTTCCAAATATCCAAAAAAATAATGCGTTCTCATAAAAATATACCAGGTGTTATTTTATATGCTTTTGGACATTCTAGAGGTGCCCGGTCGATGCTAATCATACCAAACTGGTACCAAAAATATACTATAAAGGCAGGCGTAAAGGAAAAGGTCATAGTACTGTATCATGCCTAAAACAGTTTCTAAAGACCAATCAGGAAATTGGCTTATATGGAGAAAAGTTCAACTTTAGTAGCGCAACAGAACTGTTAAAATGATATGAGCAGGCAATCATCTGACTATAAGTTGTGAAAAGGCTATTATATATCAGTAATAAGCAGACCCGTAAGCGCATCTTCTAGGCGAAGAAGCAACTAAACAGCTAAGGCTCAAACATGCCTCAATAAAGAGATTTTCTGATTTTGTCGCAAGTGAAACCTTTCGAAACCTGGCTAAACTTTCGAGTTTTGCAGTGTTCAATTACTGATTACCAATTTATAGGTCATCTCTTCGGCTATCTGCCTGATCTTGCCTCTCTAGTGTAAAAAGGACCATGCTAGATTAGTGATACTTCCGAGAATTGACTAAATATTAACGTGGTTTATTCTTAAAATTTGATTTCGTTCATACAAATAGCCCTGTCACGTTTGATGTCGCGTGTTGAGCCCCGAATGTCTTCCGCTCTTCTAGAAATCCCCCTTGTACATTTGGTATCCTGTACATTAGAATTCAAGGGATCATTGCTACCTCACCAGGCGTTCGGTTATCTCGTGCCTTCGTCAGAAGGGTCTCGGGTCTTGGGAATGATTTTTGATACGGCGTGTTTCCCTCGGCATGACGGCCAATACTACAAAAAAACTCGGGTCACGGTAACTATGCTTCTGAAATATTGCAATATAAACAAACGCGAAGTAGTTTAGCGGCTCTAAGATCGGCTTGTATCGACGCTTCTGATACAGTGAGAGATGTGGATGACAAAATCAATCAAAAGAAAAGTTTGAATGGTTACGTTATCTATGTAATATAGTTTTGATCACTGATTCAATATTTGCATCTGTGATCTTGTTCTTTTCGCTATTTCACATTTATCTGCAGAGTCAAGTAGGTCCGTCTTCCTCTTTTCTTTTTTCTTTCAATACACAATACAATATACATTCAGTAGTATCTGAATAGCATGCGAGCTTAGTAATCAACGCAATGGATTTTTATTTTAAAATCGTTTTCCTGCAGACACATTTATATAGTGTATGCTGCACAGAGATGTCTTTTCGTTTGGCTGCTGTTGCATTAATTTCTGTGTCATATTTAGGTAAGAAAATTAAATAAGGTAGGGTCCTCGAGGCAGTTAAGAATTAATAGGGACTATAGATTAGTAGCACGAAGTTAATTGAAACTATCATTAAGATTAGTAGTTCATTTTTTTAGTGCCTCATGGGGGGTCGGTGGTTTGCGACAAATTTTGGAGACGTCAAATCGGTACAAGCGACAACGTTCACGGAGACAGCTACCGATGCGTGTCGTGAGCACCTTGGCCTAACCCAGAAACCTATCAGGCACCTCACCAATATATTACCGGTACGTGTGTTAGAGTAATAATAATGATAATTTATTTCTTTTATTCGCCTTCACCCAATTGCAATACTAGTAATTCGTTTCACTCGTAAACAAGGAATTCTTTCGATCGTAGATATTAGAATGCTTGATAAGTTTCAAACTGAAGCACCGTCACTTTGTAGTGCAGAAAAAGAATAGACAATAATGTGTACGAATCGTTCATGTGTTCAGGTTTACTTGATGTTTTTGCTAGATTATATGTCAATTATCTTATTATGGAAGAAAGGTATCCTACCTCAGCCGACTATATATTTCACTGGACATAAAATTTATCAATATTTATTTGGCTAAGTGTATAAATAATTAAGAGATCAGCAGGAACAGCAGGTAATGTTGACGTGTTATTCTGTCGGCTTGATATTACAGAACTGTATTCCTCAATACCAGGTCGGCCACTACGCCACTGTTATGAAACTGAAAAACCTAATCGCAGAAAATAATTTTCAAATGAGCCTTTTAGGTTCATCTTACGAAGGCTTGTCTGTTAATGACTGCATCTACAACGCCAAACTAACTGTTGAGAAATACGCCAAATCGCAAGGAATCATTTAAAAAAAAATTGAGTTGGCCATAATTTTTACCAGAAGCTACTCTATAAACAGGTACATTTTTATTTTTTACTCGCAAAATAAAATGAACGGATTATAAATGCTGGATGGCTTCTTTCTGTAATTAATAACAAAGTATTTCCATGAAGGTTAGGTCTCAATTGTAATCAGTAATCAGCTCGTAATAGCGTAGCTGGAGCGTCATTTAGACGTGTTCAGACCTGAGGTTGATCTACCCGTAACACTTTTTAGGTTGGGAGATTCGTCGTGCGATGCAACGCCTGGTGTGTTGCTCGATGTAAAAATCAAACAATTTTTAGGCAAAAATACAAAATGATGGCACATGATATGGCCGAACACGTTGAACCGTGGTGCATACGCGTCTCACCTTGGGGAGCACATGCAAATTTGAGGGACTTTGTTTGCTTGGTTATCATAATCGATGATGTTCATTTTGAGAAGTAATGCACTATTGTTATATTTTCGGACTTGTACCAAGGTTATCACGCTACCGATTTGTAACTTAGAAACTTCCAGTACGCAACAATTCTAATGACGAGGTAAAGGTGCCTGCGGTATAGCCCTTCCAGCTTGTAACTTACATAATAACGAAACAGAGTGGATCTGTGCGAATGTCCTTTGGTGAATTCCCTGACGTTGATTATTCATCATTCAAGATGCTTTCTGCTGTTCTCAGTTAACAAACAGTAGAATCAAAGTGCCACAAAAGCCTTGTGAGTAGCATCACTTTTCACATCACTACAGGAGTTACCACTGTATTCTTGTTAGCGGATTATTTCGAATTATAAGATGAAAGCTTAGGCTGTCCTAAGCTTCCTAGCTAATTGAAACGGTGTCTGGTGAGTAGAAAATTTACAATTGATTAAGGCATTATGAAGTCATAGGCATGCTTTTGCGAGTCCTTGACATATCATGCCCTTCTGTAAGGTCTGTTTTGGACCCGCTGGACATTACCGAAATAGCCGACTGTTGCAAAATAGATTAGCTCACTTCAGTTGCAACATGTTGAACCAAGACTATTATAACCTCGTGATTTTTTTTATATGTTCATACAACATACCTTTAATTTCGCAATGTGGTAAACGACATCAGCAGCCAGATAACATATAACATATTAATAAAAAATTTTACATGAAATTTTAATTTTAACAGTCTCAACAACTGCTGATGCTGTTATTTGTTCGTAGGTGGGTTTCATCCAACGCGAAGACAATAAATGAATTAGCAGAATCTTTTTAAAAATAACCGAGTAAGAATTGAAGAAATTATTAAAAAGAAGAAGTTATTAAGAAGAAGATTATCTCACTTATTGCAAAGCCCAATTTTTTCTTTTATTGATCTACAGGCTGATTATTGAGTCTACCTTTCATATACTAGCATTTGTATATGAATAGCGAAGTTTATGGTGAAAGTCAAGCAACACAGTCTTTTGTGACTTTCTAGACCTGTTTACTGGTGCAGTTAAGTTCTTTCTTCTACTCAAGTGCTACTGCTTTCAAGATGTCGGCAATATTTTCTCTTTAATAAAAGTGATCTTAAACCTATTTTTTTCACGAATGTCTTAATTTTAAAACGCTCTCACGGGGTCAAAATGTTCAATTAACAAGCTATTGTTATATTAGCGCCTGTATTTGAACCTAATTTCCTTAAAGCGTATTCATCATACTACTTTTAATGTGGCTGCATGCGATAGCCCTTTCAACGCTCAACTTAATTTGTCGTGATTTGCGAAATTTTCATTTTTTTCTCAAAATCTTTAAAAAGACTGGACAATTAAAAAAAAAATCCGAAAAACATCTCAAACGTGCCTTTGTTTGTTTACAAATATGAAAGTTTACTTCTCTTTTATTCTGACTGAAGTAGCGTACAGCATTTGTTCAACCAATGCTGAAGGGTATTTTGATTTCACTTGCAGGTATGGAAACTGTAATATTAAAATAAAATTAAAATAATAACTAATGGTAATATTAACATAAAAAAATACATTAAAATAAAAAAAATATGAAAATAAAATGCAGAGCCGCTTAAGTCATAGGCGGCACAATAACAACATTACTAGCTACCATAATTTCCGACAAAAGATTAAATCAAATGTTCTTTAGAGTTTATCATATGCGCAAGCTGTTCAAATAACAGGCTTTACGCCAGCAAAGTTAAATTGAATTTAACATATATAAGGTAAGCGTTTGGTTTACAAGAAACTAAAGTCATATGTTATCTGTATGTGTGCTCTTATGTATGTATAGATTTTAATGTGGGTTGTTACATTTACTTCTACTCATAGTTCTTTCAAACGTATATACTGCTTGCAATGTAAACATCTGCATTTATCCGGTAATAGGGCCGAGCGCATTTCTAACGGCCGGGACTGAAAAGGCGAAAACAAGGATGGGCTGTATGCATAAGTCAATATACAAACGATAATCTTGAATGACTATAGTTCCTGAATTACGATAGCTTCGTTGTACTTTGTACCACTGAGACGGAAAAATTGGTACGGGTGGGTACTTCGCTCCAAGATTTGAAACTGAATGTTGTGTCAAGATGTTCAGATGCGTGTCCACCCGTGCGTTTTTTTTTCATATCACTATCACATTCGTTCGAGAAGAGTAATCGGCTTTCGTTATTACTCTAGTGGTGGCACCCGAAGCCCGTGGTAGGGGCCTTAGCTTAAGCAATAAATTTGACATTTTATATTTCTTACTAGTCTTTCTCGTTTTACTTAGGCCGTTTTCCCGCTGCTGCGTAGCTAACGTTTTCCACATCGAATAGCACAGAAAAGATAAAAGCGAAAAGTAGATCATATTGTGCGTTTCAGTACACTGCCAGAGATGTGGGTGCTCAATGTCTACATTAGTTGAAAAGGCCAGTTTGGAAAAGTTCGTTCACACCAGCTAGGTAGAGCTCCGCAGATTATTTGAGCAACTAGCACTGCCTGAGCTAGTAATAAAAGGACCCGGCCCTTTCGTTTTGTTAGTAAGTCAAACTCAATGGCGTTTCTCACAGAGCTAATAAAGTTGACTCGAATGAATGAATTCCTTTTGAGCTAAAATAAAGGGCGTGGTTTTATTCCTCCATGTTATTATCTTTAATTTAATCTCTTTAGCTGTGCATTTGGCGTAGACGGTAAAGCAAATTCTTAACTATGGGATACTGTAGACGACTCTGTTTGGCCTACTATTATAGATAAGGCACATGATGAACAGCATGTCTTTGCCTTTCAAACTTCAACGTTTGACCTTGCAACAACAAGGCGCGTTAATTTGTTCGGGCCAATTCTGGGAGAGTTTCTGACCAACCGCTTAGGCCTGTGGCATCTCTCACACACATACGAGACCTTAGACTCTTTTAGTAAATGCCGCCTCATCCATGCTTTGATGTTATATTTTATATATAGCCTATAAAACCGCTCCACTGGTTTAATCTAATCCTGAAAGGGCACTCGGCTTGAATGCCTGCTTTCTCATTTCCTAAACCAATAGAAAAAGGTTACCGAAAGGAACGATACTGGTGGACCGAGCGTTATGGCCAGTCATGACTGTTCGTCTATTTATATCTATATGTTCGACTCACTGAATAGCAATCCGATGTAGTAAAAGGCCGATGAGATTTCCGTTCTGCTTGCAAGATGCGAATGCATCTTTCCATGATTGTCACGTCAAATAGCATAATAATCTAAATTGTAAAAGTGACATTGGATTTCTCACACTGAATAAACTTCTGTCATTTCCACGGCGTCTTCGCGAGGCCGCCGACACAAGCTATTGCGCTGCTCATAATCAACCCTCTATGTGGTACGTAGTATCAGTGCGACTGGTCGAAACGAAAATCGGATATATGTGCATCTAGAAGCAGCCACAGCAAGCACGAACAATTTGTCGGCTTACGATAATGGGCGCGTACTTCTCAAATAAGAACCTGACGACGATGACCGGGCGGACTTTAATATGGCTCAAGATTATGCGCTGTCCCCAGCTGTATCCTATTGCGAACCCTTCGTTCTGTTACAGAAATTGAGGTGCTATTAGTTTTAGGTAGTATTAGAAAACAGGCAAGTGATTATTTATAAAGGATATCACTGCAGCTCCGGTTACATGCACACATCTTAATCCTGAGATAAATTTATTAGAGATTATTCTCTGCTCGTTCAAGTCACCCAGTGCGACAAATGCCCTCAAAGCGTTCAAGCTCGTGGGGTTAATGGTGATTCATAAGATAGTTTAAGTTAATTATTCCTAGATATAAACTATTAATGTTTTTGAGTTATTCGTACGACGAAAGTAGGCCGTGTCATTAAGTCATTTCACCCAGAAAGGCCAGAGTGCCCCCAGTTCTGAACAAAACTGGGGGAATAAAGCTAGTCACGTAGATGATCGGTTCATTCAAAACAGGGCGGACAGATCACGCGGCGCTCCGACTCCTCTGCTAGTTGAAAATCCGCTTGAATCAAGCATGAGCAGAAAAGAGAAGCTTGGCTTAGCCTTGTTTGTGGCTTTCAGATGTCTCTTACATAATATCAACAAACGTCTGCCTTTCCAATCGTAGACATATGCGACCTTACGAATTAGTTGTCCTGCTGTCATAGTCCTGTTTGCCTGACCGCTGGTGATTCGTCGGCATTAGCAATGTCGCCACTGTCTCATTTGCACATTACAAACTCAAGTATGTCCGTATGCCAAACGAAGTTCCTGTAGACATGCAAAACGATATCGAGTCCCCATTTTAAATATATAGATTAACAGCCTGTGATAAAGAGGACCCTTGCTGGTCAGAACAGGCACGGTCTTAACAGAGCATTCATAAAATGTCACTAGGCGCGACTTTTGAAACACTGAAGCGTTAATTCGCTGCCTGGTAGCCAACATATGTTTAACACACTACTTGTAAATGAGTGTCTGAACTTGAAAAGCCTATAGAGCTTTATTCAAGCGCGGAGTAGACATCAATTGTTTGTGAGCCATGTGAATACCACGTTTACGAATGGTATATGAACAATTTTGTATGTTCAAAGGGTCAGCCAGTCGTAATCGATTTTACCACAATATCCTTATTCTTCAATTTTCACTCAAATATTTATAATACTTACATAGCCGATTCGTTCAAAGCGTCTGTGTATATTGCCCATACCACCAATGCGATTGCATTGTATCGTCACTGAAACCCGTATGTATCCACGAGGTGTTGTTTCTGGCCAACTAGGATTCGAAGAGCCCCTCACAAAATCCGCGCTCTCTATATCGTATGTGTATTGCAAATCCTCATAGGTAAATTGTCCCGTTTTTTGTTACGCTGTTCTTAAATATTCCACTGACTATTTATTAGAGCATTTTTGTCATGCAAGTGAAGCGTTTATCAAATAAGAATAATAAAGATGGTTCTCACTGCGCCTCGGGTAATAGGTCTTATATGTATTAGTAGCGCATATGAATGCACTGTATTGTATAACCTTACCAATGCGAACATATTGCTATGTTCTGTTGTGATAGATAATATCGAAGTTAACAATCGCCGCTGCTGTTCAAAAGATATATCGATATCACGTATATCTGTTGATAAGTCTGCAGTTAATAAAAAAAAGTATCGAGCGTAACAAGAGGTGCTGCTCTTTGATTCACAAACTGAGATCGTCTGATGTCGGGTCAGTGGCTTATCAGGATTCAACTGGCGTGAATTTCTAACTACACATGCTTCACACAATAGTATATAACTTATTAATAACAAACCATAAGCTAGATATTGTGTCGTTCAATTAACAATAGAGAACAAAACAGTAAATAACTTCATATAGGACTGCTTTGTATTTTCATTTTTCCAACAGTGATCTCACTTTGGCCCGACACACAGTTTCCATAAAACTGTTGTCTCGTTCTTTAAGGCTAATGTTTCAGTCAGGCTCTAAAGAGAAATTTTAGCGTGTGGTTGAATTTCTTCTTTTATTTTTTTACAAGAGGTTTTTCAAGAAGATAGAACAGTTGCTAGTTGCTGAACTGTACGAAATACGGCAGGCAGGCAGGTAGGTAGGTAGACCGTTTTTAGAAGATGGATTTATTCAAGACATTGAAACGCGCGACTTACTATGCAAACTCTCTTTTTACGGAACACCGATCTTTATATCTGTCAGAATTATATACACTTCTCTATTCCAAAAAAAGTACTTTTGCAATTGATAAATGACTGTGCATGGGCAAAAAAATTTACCCATTTGTGCAAGTAAAAGTTCGGCTATGTGAATTTGTAGCCATGGTAAAAGGGATTCACGATAAAAGGTATCTGGAATATTCTCGTGTTTTCTTTCTGCAAAACATGAATTTTAGGCTGCAATTTAAGTTAAAACATCATATCGTAGTTAGCTAGACATGATAAGCTACGAAAGTAAAAGTCGGGTAATGAAATTCGGCGCGCTTGTTAAGCCAAAGTCGCTATTTAGAGGATTCTAACATCGACCATTAATGTTTATAATGCCTAAATTAACGTGGCAAGTATAGAATCTTCAACGGTTACCACACGTCATCGCTTAACAATTTCATTAGTGATACATAGGGAGATCAGTTCAACTCACACAAGCATTGCAGCCAGTATTAAGTGCTTACGAGTTGAATGAAGAGCACTTCAGGGCGACAAAAAGCTAACATAGGGAAAGTTTGTGACAAAGACCTGACGTGCACATACTGTCTGACCGGTGCACCTTCCTAGACTTCTACAACGAATAATACAAGCGGCAACATGATAATGGACTGGTCCGTTTTGAAGAAGCAAATTCCACGTCGTCCATGTGCACGCTATGTATCGTTCATATCGTCTAGAGGAGCTGACTCCTAGCATGCTTAACATTGGATAAAATTTTTGTATGGAATTATTTACTTTGGTATTCAGTGGCGGACAAACAATAACAAACACCTCAACTTGGACACGTCGCCGTTCCACCGATATAAAGTTTAATTTATGGTCACAAATTGGTCAATGCGGCCCAATGGTCGAACAACTAGCAATCAGCTGAAAAAAGGTTTTTCTAAGTTCACTATTACAATTATCTTAAATCCACAGGATTGAGGGAGATAACTAACCTGAAACCATTTAAGGTTATACACATATTTTTGTAAGAATACTTAGTGAAACATATAATGCAATGAGAAGAATGCTCAAATCTTATGACAGGCGTTGTCTGTAAAGACAAATTGCCGCACAATCAACCGTGCTTTACCAATTGCGCAAACCTAAATAGGCTGGTGTCAAGTAAAGCAGTGTTGTTTGACAAGCCTCCACCGTGTTATCTTGGCCTGTTAGCGGCTTTTATTTCTTATTTATTTATTTAGTTGCTTCCTTATAACCGACCCATCACCGTCACGGTCATCATTATTATTTGCTACTGGGACCGGGTACGATGTACTCGTTTGTCACAGCTGTGTAACTGAATTATTTCCGATTTTACTAGTGTCCTATTTTGCGCTAAGACTATTCAGGTAGGGTATTTTCCCTACATATTACACACGCACGAACAGTTGTTTCCATATACACATTCGATTAGACTGCACATTGCCAAGCTCAAAGGCGTGCTCTCTGCTGTTCTGCATCTGAACAATTTCCAAAGTTTGACTTGATTTCGTAATAGGTAAGACCCTCAGCTGGCTTTATTCAGTTTCTTGTGGTAAGTCCTAAGTGGAAATTATTAAATTAGCCAGTTTGAAGACTGCCGAATGAAGTCTTTGCAAACCTGGCTACCCACAATGCAGTGGTGCAGAACAGATCCAAACGTGGGTCAAAAGGAGTTTCTACACAAAAGTTCACGATATCAGAATTCGCTTGTAATAATTATATAGTCGCGTCCTTTATATAATTAGAATTTTGATGCAATAAAGGAAACGTTAGTCTTAATTTTCTTCATTTTCAAAGGGAGGTGAGAAAGTTCACGTTGCTTTAACGTCAATAATTAGATTACTAGGCACAATACAGAGCGTCACTTCATTCCCCTAGGCTATACCTCACTGACAAAACAGGACGCACGTTGTACTCCAAGGATCATCAGTGAGGGTTGCTGTTCTCGGAGCACCCAGCCGTGCTCGTCATTTTTCGCCGTCGTTGTCCTCGTCCTTTTCCTGACCGCCCTCATCGGCTTGCTCGACGGCGTTCGTCGCTTTTTACGCTTGCAGCCAATAGAGGAAGTTGCGGTACGCTCAGGCCCCGAACGCCCAGATCCGTCTGAAACAACAGCAGCAGCAACAGCAGCAGCGCGCGGTTGGTTATCGGGGCGGCTCCAGAGTAACGGTGGGCGAGGGTTGGGCGGAGCCAATAGCCGCAAGAGGCGGTGCTTACCGTTACAGCGAGAGTTATCGCCGACTCGGCAAGCGCTCAGGTTCTGGACGCCGATCGGCAAAGTAAACATGGTGCTGGTGCTGTGTGCGTGTGTTTATTTTCTTAATGTCTGAGACGCGTCCATTTCACTGTGTCACTTACTACGGCGGAAGCAAATTGACGCGGCAAATTCGATTTGTTGTTGTCGTGAACAATGTGCGAACGAGTCGATGACAAGTGGAGCTAATCAACAACAATATTAACTGCTTTAAAAAAGCGCGACGGTCACATTGTGGAATTAAAAAGCAAACATGACGAAAATGGCTTTTCTGTAGTTATCGTTGCAATCATCGATCGACCAATATTTAATTGAAACCATCAGACTAGAGGCCAGGCTACCTGGTATCTGCTTAACGTGCAGTGGCTTCAGCCGTGATCGCACTGTTTGGCGGCCGGTCAGGCACTTGAAGTTGGGCCTACAGAGGGTGCCATGCATTCGATCGCCGAGCAACAGAGTGGTGATTATTATTGTGGGTCATCATCATCATCAGTTGGGATAACGACACCATTGGTCATTAATTCTGTGGACAGTCGTTCGCCGGTCTCGCCTGCTGTGCGCACGCCTAATCTAGGAATCGGGGTAACTAAATCGACCAATTTGTGCAGTTCTGAATTACGACCTGAAAATTCACGAATAGGATCATATAGCAGAACTATGGGAGTTCCGTCGCCATACGGAGACGTAGGCTGCTCGTCAGGACAGATACTTTCTCCATACGCGTCATCTGCAGGCGAACTTTATCTTCCTGCCGATTTACGTGCCCCCTACCTAGCGCCCGCCTACCAGAGTCAAGTGTTACACACCTCACATATGGGCAGTGTGTCCAAAGATATGGTTAAACCACCGTACAGTTATATCGCATTAATTGCAATGGCAATTCAGAATTCAGCAGAGAAAAAGGTAACACTGAACGGAATATACCAATTCATTATGGAGCGTTTTCCATTCTATAGGGAAAATAAGCAAGGCTGGCAGAACTCTATTCGACATAATCTTTCGCTAAATGAGTGTTTCGTAAAAATTGCCCGCGACGATAAGAAACCGGGAAAGGGTAGCTATTGGACGCTACACCCGGACTCACTAAACATGTTTGACAATGGCAGTTTCTTGAGAAGACGTCGTCGCTTTAAACGAAGTGACACCGAACGTAAGAATATCGAGGAATCCTCCAATGATCCTAGTGTAGGTACAAATGCGGTAACCGGTACTGTTGCAACAATGCAAATGGCGCCGAACGTTCTTGAAAACGGAGAACTTAACGCAGCAAATGGTGGTGGATCATCTGTAGGAACGTCGTCGGCTCCTAGCAAAAGTAAAAAGTTGAAGAAATCTAAAAACTGTAGCTCGTCAAGAAATATAGCGGCAGGGGTCTCAGCGACGGTACCGTCATCCAACGCCCAACAGCAACAGCAACAACAGAACGAATACTTTCTGGTGTCAGAAGTCGATACGACTTCCTCTCGAGGTGATGGACTTAATCCACTAAAACAAATTGTGGCCCATAAAAGTACGGATAATGTCCAAGTAAATGGAGCCTTGTACCCGTCGTTACCCCATTCGAATCAGATGCTTGCAGCAGCCGCACAAGTAAGTACAATCGCTTGTGCACCAAGTCAACAGGAAAGCGTGGCAGCTGCAGGTGTCGTTGTGAATGGAGAGATTCAGGCGCAAACTAGTAGCTTATCATCTAAATCACCCAATCTTGTCAAACAAGAATACCCCTCACCACCCCAAAGCGTTGAGCTTTACACGGCGACTCCTACTAACGATCACGTAGATGTGGTAGGGGGGAGCTTAGCAACTTACCCTTCCCACCATTCGCCATCGTCACACGGTGTTTATAACCATTATAGCAGCCTTAAAAAGTCTGGTTACCATAGTTCCAACCTGGAAACAATTGAGGCACCAGGTCTGGATCATTATCCATACGGACGGTGGCACCCCCAATTGCAGGACTGTTCAAGTCCCGACCTTCACCCGGGAAACAATTATACTGTTAGCGGGACAATGACTACAGACAATGGACAGGATCATTATTACAATCATCAAGTATCATCATCATCTGGAAGTTTAGCCCCCCCTTTCTCCGGATCACCGGCAAACCTACCTGGGCTAGCGGGATTACCCGCTCATACAATGGTACAGCATACAACCCAAGGCCTTGGCCAAACTGGGTTAACTTCTACTTCGGCCTACTTTTGTGATACCGTTGCTTCAGGTCCTCGCCCACAGCACGTCCCGTGGACGTACCATACGGCCCTTGACCGTTATTGATCACGGCACAAAAATCATCTAAAATAGTTGCATATAAATACAGACAATAACCAAAAAAAAAAGAGGGATCGATTTATGGTGACCAACTACACTGCCGAATTTCCGCGTTAAAATTCTTGATGGGAGATTCTCATGGCGACCTCTTTCAAGCTTGCAGCACATTAGATAAAATTTCAATGAGACATGTAGGACACCACCGATATATGTACGTACGCGGTGCTGTCAATTTTGCTCTGGATGAAGCAATCAATATTTAGTCAGCAGTATTTATTTAAACAAGGCAAGTCCATTCCTGACGCTAGCGACTTGGCTAAACACAACTCTAGTCTTTAATGACGCCCTTGCAAAGGCCCACGTGCCTAGTGGAAGAAATAATGAATAAGTTTTAAGCAATAGTCTTGAAGTTGAGGTGAATGGCATGCCAAACTAGATACCATCAGTTGAAAAGAGCTCATTTGAAGAAGACGACGTCAATGTAACTCCACGAACGCAAATGATAAAGAAACATGAGTAACGTTTTTTCAGTCAATCACTAACATCGCGTAGATTATTACGGCGTTGTTTTTGCTAGCGTATCAAAGTGCACCAGAATAGAATGAAAACGACTTTGACATCATCTTCTTTCTGTCAGGAACGATCATAATGGTCGATGGTGTAGTTCTAGCCTGGCACTGTCATCCCCATAAAATATCTAGTCACTTGAAGGCAGCCACCAGTTTGTAAAGATCATAATAACCCCTAATCCCTAAGCTAGGTGTGTATTAACAACTCCGAAGAAACGATATATTGTGTATCTATCTGCAGCTCCGCAGGATACGTTAACGAATTTCCGCTTGATAACAAACTATATTTGGATTGATTTCGCTCCTGATCAATTGATACCGGATCAGATTTAATTTTGTGCGCTAGAAATAACAAGTTGGCTAAAACTTCATTGTAGCCGCCTGAATTCAAGGACGTTCAGTAGGTATAATATGGAGTATTGTAATTAACCAAGAACGTTCATGTCCACTTAACTGTGAGAAAAGAAAATCAATAGAAAAACCAACGGTCTTGTAGTATAGAGTGAAAACAATTAAGAACTCCGTAGTTAAAACTCTCAATGAAAACAAAGGCCGATGTTAGTAAACGGTCAAATCACATCAAATCAACCATGTATAAATAAAAACCATCTGTCACAATTATCAGAGAAGGAGCAGTGCCGGTAATAAACTCATGCCCGGTCCGACTAAACCGGCACACAAATAAATCGATAAATATGTAAATAAATAATCAAAGACTTCCTATGAAAAACATTTAGTGATCTTTTAAGTAAATTAAAAATTCATCGTTTATCTGCACGCTTTAAATTAGGTAAGTTTTTTTTTTCCATACTCAAGGCGGGCTACCCAAGAAAGGTTTCCCTTCATACTGCACTAATAATTGTCTTTTAATCTGTCGCCACATCTAAAGGTGTCGCAAGATTCCGCACGAATCTTAACAAGATCAGCGGTCTTTCAAATATCCTGAAGGCTTCCAAGCACAGCTGATGCTACAATTTCGACCAGATCGCTCTTTAACTTACGACAAAAAAAGGCTCGACATACCATTACATACTGTAAACGTTTTTTTTTTTGCAAGAAAATAACCAACTCTACTGTAGGACTAGAATTCTGATAATCTGCTCATCTACTATGATAAGCAGTTCTGGTCCCGTTTTAGTAGTTATCACACAGTTATACATAATAAGCGGTTTAAGTAAACTAGCTCTGGATATTCTAAACAGTGTAACGTAAAGGCGCTAACCCACATTACTTTAAAGTAAAAGAAGCCGGTCAAAGCCATTTTGTTAATAAAATGAGCATGTCAAATTAGAAAAATTATTTTTGACCCAGCAAAAATTCTTCATATAAACTTCAATGAAACCTTGATACAGAGAACAGCTGAACATTATTTCGACCACATTAGAATAAGTATTAGAACATTTCGGTTTCAATATTTCTCTTTTTATTATTAAGAGGGTTTAAGTAGTACTAGTTACGTACATTCAGGACGAACCCTACTTTATGTGGGCCAAGTGCGGGGCCCAGCCCCGACGGCTGAACTTGGTTGTACCGGGAGTACTATCCACCGCTAATTCTCAATTCTTTTCTTTTACTTCACTCCGAGCCAACTCAAATCTTTTCTTAACAGTACTACGTACGGGTAGAAAGAAATGGCCAGATCAACGGGCTGGGTTTCCCACTTTACCAAATGAGCAGGATCCCTGTTGAAGACCCTGCATCTTTCCCGAAACCTTGCAATGTTAGCATCATCCTCTCTTTCTCTCTCTCTCTCTCTCTCTCTCTTTCTCTGGCAAACTATCTAATCTGAGTCTCTGTAGTCGTTCTGTTTCTGCAAGCAATTTTCTGGCAAGCTTGTCTCCGCTGCGCCAACACACTCGAAATTTGCATATGTGTCTGAAAAGCTCCCTAGCCCGCCTGCCAAGGCCATCTTTACTTTGGTATCACAGAAAGTTGTTCTAACGCGCTCCAGCGTTTCTCAATGCGTCAAGATATGAAACGCGTCGTCTTGTGCACAGAGCAGGCACGTGCCTGATGAGGCCTTTCCTATTCGATATAATTTAGGTTGAAACTGCCCATGTCCTGAGAGTATTTGCGAGAGAAAATACAACGGTTTTCCTCCCTACCTTTGTAGCCAGTCCCTAATATTCGAGACGATGTCCCTCATGGCGACCCCCGGGCGTGGAAGGTCATGGCAATCTATATGCTTTGCCACTTACACAGTCAGTCTTCCCTTGTATCTCTTGTCACAGAGAAAAAAAAACGTGAAGAGCGGTCTTCTTTTAAATGACCGAAAGGCCTAGCTTAAAAAAATAATAGACAGCTTGGACCGCAGAAACTGCTGACATTTAGACAGACCTTTCAACATATCCTTAAGTTACTGTTTAATCATGCGATAGGGATGTATATCTCTGATGCCGTGACATAACGAAGAGTTTCCTTCCAATAATAGGCCTGGCTCAATTTTTGCCTATTTTCAGTTACAGATATTTTTGAAGACTTCTTTTGTGCCATTGTTAATCTGGCAAAGCAGATCGTTCGTCAAAAGTTCGTCGAAAAGTAAAGTGACAATGTGATGTCTGTGCAGGAAGTTCTAGGTCTCAAGTTGCTTCTACACAAAAGGATTTATGTCCACACCCATACATTACGATTTTTGTCTTTTTCCGTGCAAAAATCGTTTTGATCAACTCCAGTACATGCTGCTATCGCAAAAACTATCTTACGATCCTGGATTTGCCAAATACAGTCCAGGAATCAAATCCAGGTACGCTTGTCATTTGCGTCAAGAGAGTTAATTAACGTTACCGGTTTTTTCCCATATGTAAACTCGATTTGTTGATTTTCATCGGGGTCATTTTAGAGAAACCGTTTCGTATAGTAAACGTTACTAAATGCGAAGCTTTTATGTTTTGTAGTGTATGATCTGTGTGTTAAGTGGGGTATTTACAGCCGTAGCTTTTGGGACCGGGGCTGTCCAGCCACATCGATTGCAATAAACTGCTCTATTTAGAACAAACATGAAGTTTGCCTTTGCAGAGAAGATCTTATTTGAATTTTTATTTTACGTAACATTTTTTCGGTGTATATTTCGAAAAATGGGATCCGTCTCGGATACCCGTGTGTTGCGCTAATCGACCTCATTGATCAGACCTTCGAATGAAGCCATTGTTCGCATGCTCCACTTGCGTTATTGGTTAACGTCGAAAAGAAGTAATACATTAGTTTGTTTCTGAGGCGATAGTTTGTAATCTTACGGATATCAAGATAACAACGAAAACTGCCATTCGAAACGTAAGTTTTTCCGTTTCTCAAAAAGGTCCTTCTGAACACACTCACTCAACGTGTTATACCGTAGCGCTCCGCTCAGACAGATAAATAAACGAGATCGAAGAAAGTTCTGAGTCAAGTACAAAGTTCCGCATATCGAAACGGTTGGAATTATCTGAGAAAAATGTTTGGGATACTATGTCCTGGAAGTTTTCAAGTAGTTTCGCTAGTTTAGTTTAATTACTTGCGTATGGAAGAAGGCAACTGCTAAGCAACCCGTCAACGTCGGCCACTGACAAAAAAGTAGAAGAATTGGAAAAATCGTCCCTGTAAAAGGTCGAAGAAGTGGGAATATTACACGGATCAAGTATGACAATCATTTGTTGTTTGCCTAAAAGGGCGTTTCTTAAGAAAATATAATGTAAATGAAGGGTATACATTGCCCATGAAGTGCCGCTTCAAGGATTAACTTTTGGACTACGCCTTATGCGTCAAGTGATGGCAATTGAACGTACTTCCCTTGCAAAATGAACAAACAACGAGTTATAATTTCGAGAGTAAGGATACTCCAGTCAAGTTCATGCTATACGAATATAACATAGTCTTCGTAAAGCAAATGTCACTGCCTCGCAAAATAACCTCCTACTTGTGGGTTGTTTTTTTGTTATCAGACCGTTGAATCTAACGTATCAATGATGTGAGCTCAAAACTGATATCTAAGCCTTTCGTTGAGCAGTAGAATAATAAGTTTTTAGGTCGTAATAGCAGTGATTGTTAGGTTGAATTTCACAGACGCAAACAAGTTCTTATGCCTTTATGCAAAATTCGCATAAATCAGCTGTACTACCTCACGACTAGGGAAAATAATTTAGTGAATTGTCTGAAGATAGCTCTAAGCGTGGACACGTTATCTGTCACTTCAATAATATGAAAGAAGTCGTAACAAAGTAAGAGTATCGAAAAGTGTTTTTGATAAAATGCTTGTTCGCAATAAAATGTTGTATTTAGTGGCAAAAAGGCTCCGTACCTTTTGTTAAAATAGGAAAAATCGTAAGAAGTAGCCTAAGCTGGATCTTTGAAACGTTTATGAAGTTAGTAGACCAACCAGAAAGGTCAATATTAGTTTAGGGTACGTAAGGTGATGCATATATTGTTTGCTCGGTCAACAGCTAATTTCACTCACGATAGTGA